CCACACTACCACACTACCGCCACACTACCACACTACCACACTACCACCACACTACCAAACTACCGCCACACTACCACACTACCGCCACACTACCACATTACCACACTACCGCCACACTACCACACTACCACACTACCACACTACCACACTACCACACTACCACACTACCACTATTATACATACAACTACATTACACTACAATTTACTAATTACACTACAATATACTACAACTACAAATATAACTACAACTCCACTACACTACACTACAGTAATTACGTTACATTACACTACAACTACAATTCCAATTCTAATTATAAATATAATTTTAGCTATTACTCCATTAGACCACACTACACTACGCTCATTACACTACACCACACTACAACTACAACTACACTTTTTTACACTACCCTAGACTACACTACACTATACCACACTACAATACACAACACTACAATACACTATGCTACACTACGTTTTTTACACCACACCACAACTACTACTGCAACTGCAACTACTACACCATACTATTTTCAATAATTGAGGTGAGGCGACCATTGCAACAATTTTAATGATTCCAAAAAATATAATTCCAATCACCTTTCGATCCAGCTGTGGATTTGTGATTCAAATAAGAAATCTCTCCTATAGATTTCCTATCTTTAAAATTTCCACCACCGCCTTGTACGATACTGCTAAAAATATCCAATCCATATAATTTTTAGATATTGCCACTCCAAACGATTTCTAAATACCAATAATGTCATAAAATAACTAAATAACATTTTATATTATTCAAACAAACAATAATTTTAATTTTATTTAATATTAATATAAAGAATTCTATATCATAATATTTTATTCTTTTTCATATATATGAAAATAATAATCTCTATATAATATAAGATATTTGTTAATATATCATCAAATATATTTTTTTAAGAAAAAATAATAGTAATACATAATATCCAATATATTTGATTAATATATGTCTATAATAATAGTAATAATATAGAATATATTTAATTTAAAATAATATTTGTTTTTTATTTTTATCAAAATATATATATATACATAAATATATATATATTTAAATTAAATAATTATATTCAAAATTCATCAATATATTATTTAAAATAGATTCTATTTATAAATATCTATATATAATATATTATATATAGATAATAAATTATTAATAAATTATAATATATTAAATTTTTATTTCTCTAATATATAATTAATATTTTTTAATATATTGCCAATATATAAAATGCTTTGATTTATATAATTTCTAATTTATTTAAAATTAATAAAATTAATTATTGTTTAAGAAATGAAATTTTGCCGGAAGAAAAAATATATTTTATTATTTAATTTTATATTATTTAGATATATAATATATCCAATTTTTGGAATTCTAGATATATTATTGTGTACATATGGGTATGTATTTATATATATATATCAATATAATATATATTATATATTATTAACATTAATGAATGCTTATTATTTTTTGTCATTTAACCATCAAAGCATGTTCTTCTTCGTCAGCCGCAGCCTGTGAACCGAGCTGACAGGCGTAGGATGCCAGCAGCCACTCGACTACCAGCACTGCCCAAGCTGGATGCAGCTGAGCGGCGATCGAAGATGAGAAGTGGATTTTTGATATGCTTACACCTGAAATTCTGGCCAAATTTGGGCCAGGCAAACACGTCACAGCAACAAATCCTCATGAGCAAATTTTCGTCTCCAAGTGACGGGATTTAGCCCAAGGGTCATAGCCCCCACTCCGTTTTGGCAAGTCGAATTTCTGAGCCTTCGCAGAAGAAGATGCACAACAAAACCCACTCTCTCTCTCTCTCTCTCGCTCTCTTGTTCCAAAAAGGAAACTGGACGCTGGCAAAGCTAAAAAGGATTACATAAATTATAACATATTATAACTATAATTATAGAGGCATATTAAGATATACAAAGGCTATTCATGACCTGCAATGCCTTGAGGTGCCCACGTTCTACCGAGTGGAAAGAGAAGGTATTCGGTATTCGACTCATTCATTCATCTTTATGCACAAAATTTATTCAGCATCCATGCCTCTGCCTCTTCTCTCAACATCTTTGACACCGTGAGAGTAGCAGCCTTGTGGCAGAGCTGCCAGTGATCAGTTTCTCCACTACTACCTGACATTTCCCGCAATGGAGCTTCATTTCACTGTTTGTAGTTGTTGGTTGAATTTGATTCCAAATCGCGGGCATGAGCCAAGTCGCCAGTGTCTAACTATCCACTTCCCCCAGCTCAACGCTTCCTCCCTTCCCACAACATCTACGACGTCTACGACAGTTCATCCCGGATCTTTACAAGCCGTGGTTCCCTCAATCGGAGACGGGCCAAGCGCTTTCGTTGGAAATTGTGCTCTATCCTCATCGACTCATGGAAACAAGTCTAGCAAGACAGCATGATTTCATTTGTACATCAACTGGCAGGTGGTAGGTAGTAGGAACATCTGATTGGCATTGTCATAAAACAAACAAATGCATGTGTTGATCATATATGATCGGATTAAGATCATGTACTCGTTTTTTTAGGGAAAGACCTACAAAATTGATCAGTTCGCTCCAGAGGGTGCCAGTGCAGCCAAGGGTCTCTTCAACTTTTCCTCGGCGACCCGTCAGGTGCACAGCTCTACTATTAGATGTTTGTAGATGTGGGTAAAACAATGCCATAAACCTTCCATGACTGGAAATGGTAACCATACCACCTATAAAAATGGTGATTTGGGGGATGGCTTATTGTTGTTTTACCCAGATTAGATGTTTCTAGATGCATTTGAAAACCTTTAAACCTTTCCCGAGTAAAGTCTCAAATGTACTTGGTCCAGGCACTGATATAGTAGTTGTCATCTGCGACTGCCAGCAAAGGCTCAGCGCGTGAGATATAGTAGCGCTGAGCATAGAGTGGCCAGAGTGCCTGCAACTGTGAACCAGTTGTGCTTCACAAAAATGAATCGCTAGGACCAGATTGAATTATAAAATTTGATCTATGTCTACGTCGAATCTATGTTTCTAGGCTCATATAAGCGTTCATGTCCGCATGGACCGGAACGTGTTGCTTAGGTCCCAATCAATTTTGAGGACAAACTTTAGATCCTTGCCAATTCTGGAGTTTCAAATGTTTCAAGCTAAGCGACTTTGCCCGTTTTGTCCCGGACGTCAACGATCTTTGTGTCCTTGGCCACATTCCACCGTGTTTTGCTTCTCAACAACAGTCCTTCGCCGGCCATGCTACACAAAGCTCCTCGGCATCCAAGGTAATGTTGTCATCGAAAAATATCGGATGACATCTGTGGTCCGCTGGATCCACTGGCAACAGCTTGCCTCGGTGGATTTACTGGACCCGACAGCGCGCGAGGGCGAAGTGAATTGGACGGAGAATCTTCAGTTGGATGCTGCTGTGGTTAAGGATCTCTTCAATCTTCTAAAACTGCAAGTTTAAGTGTCAACATGTGTCAATTACGCATCTGTCAAGCCCATGACTCTCTCATGGAACAACCTCTCAAGTTCACAAAATCGATCCGCCCCATAATTCAATTGTGACGAGGTGCCATAAGGTCCATGCTGCCCGCCTTACCACACATGCGGCGGATCTACTTCGACAGACTATTTTTTTTTTGACGTTCCAGGCCTTTCTGCCAGTAGGGAAAGTAGTCCCTCAGGGCCAAGACCTCGCCGTTGCACGCATTGAAACAAAGAGTCCTAACAAACTCAACAAACACTCTATTGGTGAGACATACTGTTTCGGTTGATGTTGGTTGATAGGGATTCCCCTTGTGGGACATTTTCGGGGGCTTGATATGGGTTTATGGTTTTGATTTTGATCCATACCTGATTAGTATAGTCTCCCCTTCCACATCTAAATGCAGCTGCAGTTCAGATGGTTTGCTTGTCTTGGTCTGCAGGTCCTCACTGCGACTGAAATCGCTGCTTGAATACCAGAAGTGGGTCGCTTGCCAACCCTTGCATTTGAAGGAGAGACAAGGATCAGTGTGAGGAATGAGGGCAAGAGAAATATGTCAAAATCATCCAAATCTATACACGTATATATATATATATATACATATATACATGTATACAATCAAGGAGGCAATGAATATGAGCGACGACAAAAACGTTCAAAGCTCTGCTCCTTGATAACTGCATCCCAGCCCCTGCTGGACAGGAGGCCGGTGTTGCCAGGTAGTTTCAAAAAGTCATCCAAGACTCCTGCGACACACGCCTCCACACAGCCCAACACACCTTGTGTACTGAGTGTTGTACTGAGTGTGCTGGCAATACTTATCAGCTTTTCAGTCCAGTTCTTGATGAGATCGGCAAACATCCGACCACTGACTGATGACAGCATGAACCTCATGAACCTAAGCAATTTCCACTGAAGTCTGAGTGCATATGTTGCTTAATGTCATGCGTTTTTCAATTGCCCCAAACATCCGTCCTTTGGTCGCATGAAGGTCCTGCGGGCAACAAGCAGCTCCACTTGTGAATGCCATTTAAGTCAACTCTATTCAACGTTATCCACCAATCCAGCTGCAAGCACAAGTAGCCTGTCCTCTTCAAGTGTAGTAGTACCCCAAACAATACTGCAGTTGTCTGCAGACCGATACCAGGATCCTGAAAGTGGTGCATTCGAAGTCCCACTGATCCCGGACCACAGCTGCAACTCCCAGCCTGTGTTTTCTTTTGTCAGCCGCAAGTCTGGCTTGCCTGGAAAATCATGTCGACGCAAGACCGATCCTAGAAACGTCAGCCAGCGTGTCTCACAATCGTGCTACCTCGTTGATGATGAAACTCAGACTCAATATGTCCCAAGTGCAAGTTGCACTGTGCGCTGGGAAGTCCAGAACTTTGGGCTCTATGTTGCATTCGCATTACAAACTTGTTACACAATTCAATTAAGTCTGACAAATTTGACAAAGCATCGAACATCTCTTAATAATCTTTGCCCTTTACTCTTCCCCCCACATGAAAAGACCTGCCATCCTGATCCCCAGCCCTGAAGGTGAGACCAGGAAGCATCCCAGCCTTCAGCAGAGCCATCCAAGCATAGGTCGGGATATCTGGGATGTTCCCCAGCCTTGGAGTGTGAGGAAGTTCAGCCGAAAAACTGAAGCTTCCAGATGGTTCCAGGCGGCTTGGAACGTCCAACGATGTGGCAAGAGCACCAACATGGAAAATCATCAGAAACAATGGTCTCTATATATATATATTATATATATATATACAATACATACATATATATATATATTGTATTATATTATAATATATATATAATATGTGTGTGATCATAGATAATCATATTATATATGACATATTATGACTCTCTGTTCCAACAGCTTTTTATCAAACTGCAGCAAAGAAGCGCAGAAGGCGTTGAACTCTGCTTGAACTGCCGGCAGGTCTGACCCAAAGGTCCGAAAAACAATGGAGAAGCTCCTGCCCTGGCAAGGGTTCGTCCAAGCACTGTGCCCCTGTCTTTCAAAAGCAATCAAAGAAGGACGTTCAACACCCAATCAGTCAGATGGACGTTCTTGACAAGATCTGCAACCAAATCAAAGAAGGCTGCTATCCTCAGCCAAAATCAGTTGATGGCTCGTCCAAAGTGGAGAAATGCTGGACAAATGCAAACGGTGGCTTCGCACTTCGGGATGCATGATGCATAGTAATCTTCTTGACGCCAAAAAAAGTTTCCGTCCACAGAACCCTGTGCGGCAGTCTGGTCACTTCAGAGTTCACACCCAGTTTCCTGAGTTGGATTGAGCCATTGAGCTGGATGAAGTTGGACACTGAGGATCCGACACCATGCCAGTGCCCACCATTCGTCCCTGCATCTGTAGCTGCGCCGCCATATTCTCATAGTGTGGTCGCAGCAGCTCACCAGGCTCTCCAGGCTCCGTGAACTTCTTCCACACCTGGCTGTTGTGAACAGCCATATGGGCCATAAGTCACAACCATTGAAGCTGATGATAAGCTGATGCCCCATGGGAATTCCAATGGGAACACAAGCTGGTGCCCTGGATGCCCTGGATGCCCTTACCTGCTCGCGCTTTTTCTTCATCTCCTGGACAAAATGATACAAGCCAAGTCTGCGGATGTCTGCGGTCTTCCCAAATCCCCAGTGATCTCAGTGGCAAGAAATCAGAAATTGAATGAAAATGAGAGTAAGGAGCCCCAGGAAACCACTTATGTATCGGCTGGTGACATGTTGACTGCTCCTTGGCCTTGCCAGGTAAGGACTGCTCCAAGTACTCCAAGTAGCTCATCAACTCGGGCTGTTGCGTTGGCCTTCCATGGTCAACTCCCAACCCCCTCATCCACACTATGCCACACGGTGCCACACGGTGCCACTCTGCCTGACAGAACTTGGCATCTGCTCCACCAGTTGCCATCCTTTCTCCGGAGGCCCATGGCCGTTGGGCTTGGCCCGGCCCCAGGCACATTCTGCTAGGATCCCTCAGCGAAAGGAACTCAGTCTTGCACCAGGCTTTGGTGTTGTCGGATTATCGGATAGCGTATCTCCAAACCCAGGATCCCGGAAAATAAAATCAAGCCCGAAACCTTGCCTCTTGCACCGATAACTTGGACATCTCTCTGAAACCTTCTAGCAGTGTATACCGAAATTATCTAGAATCGACTACAACCTTCCGTCGGACGGGCGCAAAAAACGAACGAAAAATCAAGGGAGCGCACCAAACAGTGGACCAAGCTGCCGTTGAGAACATCGGACGTGGGAATTCCTTGGATCGTGTCCTTGGTGAGAAACCACAATCCTTTACTCAAACGGCAAAACACCCTTGCTCCTGCCACATGGCAGGATACTCTCTAATGAGAGCAAAGTATCCACCATTACAACGGTCTTGTTGACATCAAAGTGCAAAACCAAGTGTGGTAAAGTCGGGCGCCAGCGTCCTGGTCAGTTGTATCAAAAAAAAACATGATTTCAAGTGATTTCCATGTCACTCTGAAGCCACTGGGTAAACACCTAACTGGCCCCCATCTTCAGCAGATTTTTGCAGCTCCAGCCTTTCTCTTTAGAAACCTGCCGTGAAGCCTCAGTCGAAGCAACTTTTGCTGAAACTTCACTGGCTTTGCTGGAGTGTGATCATGGGTTGGGGACAGCAAACGAAGCGATCGCAATTCATTTGCTGTTCAACGTCATATTTTCTGAGCCACCCATTCCCGTCGGCTTCATTTTCTGTACCTGTTTCTGCAGCCTCCCTCACTCTTAGTCTCAGACTGAATGTCCATTTCGCACTGTCCAGCAAGTGCAAATCTCCGCCGTGGATAGCCCATGGCCCATTGCTCTTTGGCACTGATGTATTTGAAGCACTGATTCTTTTTTTGCAGCAAAGTTTGTCTGGCCTTTTCAGAATTGCACTACTTTAGCATGCAACGATTGCAAAGTCAAACACGTAGTTGCACTGCAAACACAGCTCAGATGTTATCCTCCTTTTTGAAAATAAACTTCTACACAAGATGGTGCCGAGCTGCTTGAGCCTCGATAGTACCCACTGACGTGATTCCACAGGGCTGGGACCCAAACAGGCCATCTCAAAAAATGAGAAAGCAGTGGCCCTGCGTTGTTTCCGTTGCAAAACAATTGCTTGACTGCTTCACTGGATTCACTCGAAGGAACTTTTTCCAAATGGACCAAACGCAGGAAGTCTTTTTGCGCACAAGAAGACTGAAGCTGCTCCAGCTTGCCTTGGCCCCATGCTGACTGTGCCATAGTATCTATCAAAGGGTTGAATCTTACTGTTGCTGGAGGGATTGAAGAAACCCTACTTGGCTGACCAGAAAGGGGCATTGCTAAGGCATTTTCATAGCATTAATGCTTGGTTGGACTGGCCCTCCTTGTGCGGTCTTGTGAGCATCTCACAAAGTTAGACCTCCCAAGGCCCAAGATTCCCATCCCGTTTTTTGTGGATCAAACATCCACCGTCTGCAGCTACATTGGCTGCTCACTGCTCACTTCGGCTTTTGAAACAGCCAGTCCTCAATGAGCACATAATCTAAATCTGGAAGGTTGTCAAGCATTTCAAGAGACTCCACCACAGAATTGGTTATCGGCTTGCCTTTGGTATTGAAGCTGGTGTTGATCAGTGCAGCCAGACCGGTACGTCGCCCCACAGCCAGGAGGAGGGCGTGTACCCAAGGTTCATCCTCCTTGCCAACCGACTGATGCCTAGCTGTGCCATCCAGGTGAACTAGAGCTGGAAACTTCTCCTTGACATCATCCTGTACTTTCGGTGCCATACTCATGTACGGTGACTTCACGACTCTGCCAAAGACTTTTTCCAGATCCTCATCAGCAATCATAGGCGCCACAGGTCTGTACCATTGCCTGGCTTTGACTCGATTCATCCGTTCTCGCATTTCGTTTGAATTGGGAACAGCCAACAGGGACCTGTGACCCAAGGCTCGTGGCCCGAACTCCTGGCGCCCTCGAACCACCGCCACGATGGGAAAGGTCGGTCCGGTGAGGATTTCGGCCAACTGTTCCGCCACGGTGGTTTCTCCATCCACCAAGCGACGCGCTTGCCGTTCATGTGCCAACTTTTCTAAAACGTCTGCATCCCAAAGGCGGAATCCAAGGTATTGCAATGGTTGGGGACTTTTAAGAGGAGGGGTTACAGCCCAAAGACCTCCTACTGCAAGGCCACAGTCGTTGGGCGCCACAGGCACATGGATACCCGGAGGCTGGGGTTCTACCTTGTCTACCTTCGACGCCAAGGAGTCGTGCAGCAGTTGATTGGTCAGAACATTGAGGGCACAGCCACCGGTGACCACAAGTCCATCAATGTGATCGGTTCCCACATGCTCCAGTAGTGCCATGATGATGTCATAGGCCAAATCCTGAAATTCTACTTGGATAGAAGCTGCAAAGTCCCGCTGGCTATCCACAGATGTACACAGCTCGGGCAACACCTTTTCCACAAAGTAGCGTCCCAGGTCTGGTTTTCCACCAGGGACCATCGAGAACAGTGACTCGGCAGGAAAATGTGGCATCAACGCTGAGGCCTCGAAGGCTAAACGCAATGCTCTGCGGAAAGTGTCCTTCGGAGAACCACTTGCTGAGTAGCCCATGAGTTTGCCAGACCAAGAGAGTGAAATATCCGAAGGAAACAGATTCCCTTCACCAGGATAGTTACACACATGATCCATATATTCGTCATCTAAACCTGAGACCTCTGGCATCAGAGCCCCCAAGACAAGGTATAAAGTTCCTAAATTGTAATCCAATTTCGTCAACTCTTTCATCTGGCCGTTGTGCACTGTGAAAGCTTCAAAATTTGCATCGTATACCACCACCAGCGCAGATCGAAATGGTGATGAATAGTAGGACATCGCCGCGTGCGCCGCAGCATGCTTCACCATATGCCACTCATCAACGGAAAATATCTTTTTCGCTATCTCTGGAAGGAGTCCAGCCTCTTCTCCAAAACCTGTGTCAGCAGATGCTACGACAATGCCGTGTTGAAAGCGGGGAGGGAATTCATCGCATTCGCATAGATCACGGACAGTTGAGAGCGCCCGCAGCCAATCTGCTGTGTAGCTTGTTTTATTCTTGGAGTTCGGTAGAAAGTAACGGATCCCAAAGAGTCTTTCCAATTCCAAGACGCATTTCACATGGCCATTGACGCTCACCGCAATATTGGCATCGTGGCCACTAAAGAGCGCAATGGCTGCACCTTGGAGCTCCAATTGTTTCATACCTTGGAGAGACATGGACTGCAAATGTGATGGTTGAGTCTTCACACCATCTGTCCTTCGCTGTGCTGCATCTTGGCCACGAAGGAGTCGCATGTAGACTTCAATGGCATGCCAATGACAGCCACTCTCTTCATCGGCTTCACAAACAGAAGGTTCATTTTGATAAAGTTGCCCAAATTTTCGCGCAACTGATCTGATATCCTCGCTGTTCGAGTTCCACTTCAGCAACTGTCGGGTACCATTCACATCTAACATGCTCAGTTCAAAGCTCCTCCCTTTGGCATGCCTCAGCCATGCCACTAGGAAAAGCGCAAGACACTTCCAGGACATTTCTCTCCAAGAAGCAATTATTCGAGCTTGAGCTATGCAACGGCTGCACAAAGCATCAAGTAAAATTCTGGACCTTTCTGTTGTGGCTTTCAGATTGTGACATGAGAACCAACCATTAACTTGGGGGAACCTGGGAGGTGATGGTTTCACCGGTTTCACATTTGGTTCGCGGAGCCTCACCGGGGGCTGTTGCAACATCCATAGTGTGGATTCAGCGCACCTTCTGACGGCCCAAAAAAAAACCTGCCCCTTTACTGACACTGTGGCAACACCACCAGCCCGGTGAGGCACTGTCACCCCCTGTCAGTGGCAATGTTGAGATCCCGACAACTAGGCGCACTAGAAATGGTATTCAACGCTCGCCAAGTGGCGACGCTTCTAACCTCAGGCCCGCAACTGAACACATAAGTCTTTAAGTGGCTGGAAACTGGTCAAAATGTTGCTTTACATCTGTAACATCTGTAAATGAAGCTTTGAGACTTCTCACCATGCAAACGTGGCGGCAAATGAGCCCTCAGCATGTTTCCGGTGTAAGCATATCGACCCACATGCGTCATGGTTGCCTCGTGAGCGAATGCAGTCAGATTGATGTTGCATTCCAGCGATTGTCAGAACACCAAAAATATTGTCTTGCATCGATATCAGTATGTCTCAAGTTGAAAGCTCCAAAATTAAGTGAAATTCACAGGTTCATCATTTTCCCGATTGAAATGCCATGTCGTGGTCTCCTGCATTCCAAAACAAGACCATATTGCAATTCAAATGCGGAGAGTGCCAAATCTACTGGAAACTGCGGTGGACAAGGTCAAGTCATTTTTGACTAAGGAATGTACTCCCAGGTCTGCCCAAATTGTGCCGCCGATGTTCCGCCAGCGGCGGCAAAAGGCAATGTCCTGAGGTATATGTCGCTGCACTTCCGAAGGAGCGACTGATTACGCTGGAGTGTTGTCTCTGAATCGTAATAAAGCAAACAGATATATGATATATTATGATATATGAGATATATATATATTTATATGCAATCAAGGACAATCAGAATACTGGAAGGTGCTGCAATGATCAAATTCCGCTTCAACCTGACCTTACGCCAAAATTCTGGCCTCCCCCAAGAATTCACCACCTTCAACGGCAGTGTCAAAGAAGCGCCACCAAACATCGTAACCTCAGGGATATGGACAAGTTCACAATCAGCCTGCTTGGGGCTTTAAGTTTGATTCAAAAGATTCAAAAGATTTCAAAAGTCTCTAGTCTTCAGAAATCAAAACCCACAAATTTGTAGTTCTGCAGCAAAGAAAAAGGTGAGTGAGACTGTTGAAGAAAGTAGGAAATTGGCACAAAGGTTTCGCATCGCGAGTGAAAATCCGTCAAAGAGCATACGAGAGCAGATTCTGAAACCTGGGCCAAAAATATCCAAGGCCCAGACATTGCGCACGTCCGGCATGAGAGCCAGTGATGCGACAATGCATGTCAGGATATGCCTGCCATGAGTTGCTGAGGTATCCATCACTCTTCATCCTACGTCAATTGGGTCTACGTCAATTTTGCCGGTCCATAGGAACAAAGTCAAACATCTGTTCAAAACAAGGTTGTTCAGCTGGTTGCCTGCATAAGCCGATCGAAGACTTGACGCTTGATGAGCATGCAACCAGTGGGTCCAGCATCTACCTAAGCCACAAAATGCGACCATGAACAGGTGCTGCTGCAGGTGCTGCTTCATGTTTCTAGTTCAAAGGTCAGAAATGATTGGCGTTGGTGCTTTCATAGCAATCCTCTCGTGATCCAAACGGGGCTCTGCGTTTCCCTCCACGCCTCAATCAAAGATGATCCTTGTTCAAGAGCTGTTTGCACCTGTTCATCTTTCAACCCATCTTGGCACAACACGTCTTGATGAAAACATATCATGGATTCCGACAGATTGCAGGGCAGCTTGGCACCATGACTTCCACCCAACCTGTTGAGGTTGCGCATGGAGCACATAGTGAAGCCCATCCCGCAACCTTGCAGAGATTCGCATCTACAAATCTGCATTCACACCTTTACATATGCCTGCACTGGTTTTTTTGGCCCCAAATGACTGCACGGTTGTTGAGGGTCACAACCCTATCAATAATCATCATAGGATGTGTTCGTTTGCATCTTCCAGATTTTTTTTTGGGGGGGTGAGTGATTGCGACATGCTGAAAGGCTTCCAAGCAAAACACAATCATTTGCTGCTTGGTTGAAGAGGTCTAGTTTTCGACAGCCTGTTGGTCCTTTTCAAGTGAAATAACTCCTCAAATCGGATGGTTCATGATATGTTTCTGCGTTGGCTGGACTATGGGCCTGGCCTGGCAACCATGTACCCAGTCAAATCAAATTGATGGAAATCATCATCATCATCATCATCATCATCATCATCATCATCGCGGGGTTTCGTATAGTTTCCCATAGTTTCCCATATGTTCTGCGTTCAAAGGGCACATCCATTTAGGATAAATCCCCCATGCCTGCACCCAAACCCCTGGCGTGCCACACCTGGCTGTGCCACCTCGTCGTGCAGCTGCCTCCAGCATCCTGGTACAATAGCGAAATATAATGGGAGTAAAGTGGCCATTGCATACCAGTATATTCTGGATGTGATAGAAATGATATACAGTATATAAAAGAGCCTGGTTTGCACACTGGTAGAATGGATATTACCCGAAATAACATTTCCTAGCTTTAGTTTGGAAGTGTCACAGCTTTTGTCCCACGTGCAAGATTGCATCAACTGTTGAGCATGGTTCGGAAATAGACAAGCGCAAAATTAAAATTGCAAGTATTTGAGAAGCTGGTGACACTTTCTGAAAAATGCTGAAGGAAATGCACAAGTCTAATCAAACACTCAAATCAACGCCATTCGCATGTTGAAATCAAATACTGAGACTTTGTGACTGTTTACAAAAGGTGAGAGGTTTGTTTCCGAGCAAATGCTCTCATCATCAGCTGACGCTCACGCCTCTCTTCATTGAGACTCTTGGCTGGATATGGAGCCAGGATGACATCTTTGTCTGGACAGGGAGGATGGTCAAAATCACAATCGTTTATGTTAATATATTGGTCTTGTCCAACATCGTTGCGTGAATGACAAGATACTGAGGCAAAACATGTTTTGTGCTCTTGCACTCTCAGTGAAGGAAGGTTTGCCTTGATGCCCTTGAAGAAGCTTTCAGTATGTTCCAATCCGAAATAAATGCGGAAAGGTACCCGGGATCTTTCTGAGATTCAATATGTACTCAACATGTCCTTCTCTCCCGCTCACCTGCACCAAGCATCTTCCGAATGGTGTCCACTGTGAAAGCAACATCTGCATCCAAGAAGAGCAAGTGCGTGCAGTCCTGAACAAACACAGGTGCTGACTTGACAGCTTCTAGTCGTTGCCAAACCATCATGGCAAGAGACAGCTCAGTTGCTATGAATTTAGGAAAATCATACCTGCCCTCTGAGATTGCCACAGTGCCAAGGAACTCCATGACAGCCTCAGTGTTTCCCCGAATTCTCTTTCACCCTCATTTTTGATAGGTGGAACGAAACCAAAGGAATTCCAGCTGAGATCCAAGCATTGTTTCTGCCAACGGTGATGATTGACCTCAACCAAGAATGCATGAACACAAATCAACGTGTACTGATTTGATCCAAAGACAGTGCCAGTTCTGGCTCTTCGTTTCCAACCCATGCAACATGAAGCTGGATCTCCAGTCATCCGAACACCTCCATGGTCCTTAAGGGGTCCTTAAGGCCAGAACTGCCCGGCCACCAACGACAGTTGCCAGGCCACCTCCTTGAGTTGGGTGACCATATGGATCACCGAGGTCATGTAGTCCACCGTGACTTGGCCACCATAGGCGGGCGTGGCTATGTAGACCTTGAGTCCATCAGGTAACTCCATACCTGGGCAGATCATGGAACTGGACTGCCACTGATGAAAGTAACACAAAAGAATCCGACAAATTGTGAATATGTCGAATATGTCATGTTTTCTGAATTCACTGAATTCTGTCCTTGCAGGAACAAAGACGAACTCAGCGTCCGTTACACCCACGGTAGCGATGAAAACAAAAACATACAAAAACGATTCCTGTACATCCGATGCCAATGCGCACGGGCGCTATGAATGAATTCCGTAAAGCGTCTTCCCATGTCTTCCCATCTCTCAGCAGCAGACCGGTGGATGGTCCTCGCATTTCAGGTGGATAGTAGATAGGCACCTGAAGCCATCGGTCTCGCACATGTCGGGTATGGGCGGTATGGGTTTCATGCAGAGGTCCCAGCTGTCTTGGGTTCCTTGGGCCCAGGAGCTATCCTGGCAAGCTGGCCGTTGTTGCTATTATTGTGGTGACCTTCATGATCCTTCATGATCCTTCATGATAGCATTCTTGCCAAGACGTGATTTTCAACTCTTTCAGGGCTCCTTGGTGCAGGTGGAGGTGAAAATGTTGGCCTCAAATATGCAACAATTCAACATAATTCAGCTTCAAGTCAAATATATCGCAATTGAGCTGTGGCCAAAACCTTAGTTTTATTCCTTTATACTAACATACATCTTCCGCGAACACTTCCGCGCTACTTCCGTGGCCACAGTTTCCACTTCCGCGGACGGTCCCGCACTACAATTCACTTCCGCAGCGCTTCCGCGAACATATCTATTGTTGAAGTAAGGAATGTGGCGAGAAACGCTTTTCGGGTTCCGCGGCGCTTGCACGAAACCTGGTTTTCAGACCCCTTCCGCGAAAGCTTGCGCGGAGCTTCCGCGCTGCGGGTTTTCACTTCCGCGAGGTCATCTTACTTTAAGCCCAAGATAAAACGAATTCATGGGGGTTTTGGTCGCTGCTCAATTCAACTTGCATCTTGAACAAATTATTCAGTGGATATATATAACTGTCAGAAACTTCAAGTACATCAATGCTTGCCATGAGATTGAACGTCTGCAACAGGGGACTCGCCAAATGGTAGAACTTTTCACATGGCATCATTGGGTCTTGGCGATCAGCCTTCTACAAGACTGCAACTGGCCGTTTCATCTATTCAGGTGCCAATGTTGACATCTCGTCATCCCATTCAAAGACACCAACGCCTGGCCAACCGAGAGGTCAAAGCGGCTGATTCCGCATGGCACATGAAAATCCACCAAGAAACAATTGCAACAACTTCATCAATGAAAGCTCTGCTATCTCTGCTCTGTCCCTATTGAGGCAAGTCACCAAACGGGACATCTTTCCTCATGTGGCAGTCGCAAGGCAGCCCCAAAGGAAAGTTCTTCACTCTGCTGCCTCTTGACATCTCTTGACATCTCTTGACTAGCCAAGTTGCCGATATTTTTCCAGCGTCTTCATTGCCTTTGAATATTCCTTGTCGATGGCATAGGCCTTGAAGGTGTTTGCCTCCTGTGCGAACCCCTGCCATGATTTGACGTTGAAACAAGGTAGCATAGAATGCCTCACCTATGAATTTAATCGCTTGTCAATGACAGCGTCCATTCTCTCATTGCTCTAACAATTGAATTTCCCAGGTATCCAACATGAGGCATTGTCAACATCAATCAGCGAACCCATACGATCCAAAGCCCATACGATGCGGGTTAAGCAGTTACTTGTGTGGTCTTTGTTCTATCTGCATCGAATAGATCAGTTGACTCTTGATTCCGCACACGTACAATTCATTGTGCATCGATATCAATGCATGAAGCACAGAGTCAATACGGTTAAGCTCCTTCTTCAACCTCTTCACCACATCATCTTCATATTCTGGTGTGACCCGATTGGCGTCACCTTTGCAGTGAGAGGACACAAATAGCCAGAATTGCTTCGACCAAAAGGGATGCCATCCGTTTAGGTCTCTTTCCAAGGGTGAAATCTAGAATCTATGACTGAACATATGGTATGCAAGCCACAAACCACCTCGCATGTCCCGCTCACGTTCATTCAAGGCTCCAAATTCACGCATGTATTTCACCATCTTGGTCAGTTTTGTCTCGATAAAATCATCTGTAACCTCACCTGAACGAGACAGGCTGACGTCAAACTCCAAACATACAGGGCTTGCACAAAAGTGTTCCATCTCTTTTTCCCAGCACTGACAATGTGTGTCAATAATGCTCCCAAAAATATCCCTGAATAACATTTAGCCTACATTTAGTCCACAAGGAGACTGCGATTCAGTGCACGACTGGCCTGCTTTTTTAAGCGTTTTGTAGCCATCCACAATGGTTGGAAGGCACCTCAGATCCGCACCACGACATCACGGAATCTAGGGACCCCCGGCATAGTAAGTGATGTTTTCTCCCCTCCAGCATGTTTGGAAACATTTGAAAACGCCATTGGAATTGTTCAAATCTGAGATGTCTTCCCCTTTTGCTCCCTCATTGTAGGTGCTGGCTACAACTGCTGCAGCACTGCAGCTTAGGAGCTTTTTCTTCTTCCTCAGTACTAGCGAGTACAAGTCCTTAGGATAGTCGCTTCACTGCAACTGCGAATCAGCAAAACATTCAAAAAAAAACCATGGAGCCACATCAATTCATTGCCATGTGTCGATGGTCTCAGCTCGTGCTGCTTCACTCAGCACTGAAGCCCCCGTGAGCAGTACAGGAATGCTTCTCCGCCTGGACCTGGCAGGAGATTGAGACTTGCTCTGTGGCTTTGTCTGGAAAATGAGGTGGAATATCACCAAAGTTGCCATCTTGATATATTGGGATAATCATCCCCAAAATGGTCAGTTTGACCCGCACAATGCTGATCATCCATGGAATTTGGTGCTTCCACATTTTGAGACAACCCATTTCACAGCCAGGCTGCAATGTGAAAGGTCCGGCCCAGGTTGCACAAGGACCCAGGACAATGCTGAGAGTAATCAAAGCAAAAGCCAGCCTGAAACAACCCAAGCCGCCACAAGAGCCGCTTGAGTTTGGTCAAAAATGGATGATACCGCCACTTCAATGCTATCTAAATGCGGAAAATAATGAAAAACCATGTGTGTTCTCCAGAGCTTCGACGAAAGAATTGAACCACGACAGCTCGAAGTGAAAATTACAGTGTCCGATCTATTGCGATCCTGGCTGTGGATTCCCAACCCTGGTATCCCGGTGCACATCAAGAGAGTTGGTCAATATCTTCGCCTCCCTGATCGAGTATCGTAGGTGTTGGCCCATCCACAGACACTGCACTTTGCGGATAGCCTGGTCTGGCCACGTCCTCGCATCCTTTGCCACGGAGGAGCATCCATTGCTAGAAAACCCAGGAAACAGGAGAAAGTGAGTTTCAGGGTGAGCTGTAGTAGAGGTCCCAAGATCTTCAAACTATATATAATATATATATATACTGCTTCCTAGCTTTGACAACCTGAAGACCTTCCTATGGATACAAAATTCATAGCGTTCTTAGGCCTGATGTAGTGGTAGAACATGCTTCCTTCACAGAAGCTTTCCAGTAGAGCAATGGGGACTAATGATGACTAATGCAGAAATGCTACTACCCTATGAATCAAGCAAAGTCATACCAATTCTTTTTTGAGCCAATGGCTTCTGAACGAGCTCTATTGGCTGAAGTTTGTCTTGTCTCTGTACATCACAGCTCTGAGGCCCATGCGCATTTCCCGGCTGCCACCTGGATGGATTCGCAAGCGGTCCGTTCTTCGGGATGTGTACTTGGACCCATACTCATCAAAACCCTGATACCCTGGTGAACGCCAAAATAGTTGGTAAGTGGGTGAGTTCGCTCCGAAAAACAGGATCCCCTAATGGATTGACTATTGACCCATCCCCAATAGCTAACTTGACTAGATACTGATGTCCATGACAACATATCTCGCAGGCCTGGCTGCAGCTGGTGCTGCTGGCAGCCCTGCAGCTGCCCGAGCAGCTGCCCGTTGCGCCAAAGTTTGCGGAGCTGCCTGGGCACCAGTCGCTCTCACCAGGAATCGTCACCACTCTCAGCCCACAAACTATTACAATACCAACGAGGCTTGGGGTTCTCGGGCCTTGACCCTAGTGACTTCATGTGACTTCTACCTGCTGGATCATCAAAACATGGCAACAGTCAGCATGCGCATTGCTCTCGTGTCAGCCTTGCGCTCTGGCTCAAGCTTCAGTCGTGCCACTGCCCGTCGCCACACCTGGCACAGCATGGCACAGTGGTCAGTGCCACGAGTCGATTCAGCCAGAGATGACTCCAACTCATCAGCTTCAGAGTCGCGACCTGATTGAGAGCAATGTGCCACGGAGGGGAATCACAACCTCAAATGCATCTTTTTTCATCAGATTTCCAGATCTCAACACATGTTTCATCATGTTTATCGTTTCGCCAGAAGGATGTCAAGCCCAATGAAAAATGGAAAGTTCAATGAGAAGTGAAAAATGTCATGAATTGTCATGTGACTTCTCCGACTTTGAAGGTTCTGGCCTTGTGCTGCGCTAGCACATCGACTTCGCAGACTCAAACAACCGCCTCAAAGTTTCATTGTTTCTCTCCACAAACGTAAAAACATGTAAAAACAAATCATCCTATTCTTTAGAGACAGTAAAAATATGTAAAAATATCAGTTTCCCTCCTCACGTCCGAGGTGCCAAGAAGCAGCGCTTTCGAGACAGCCTCTACTTTGGAGGGCCATGAGCATCCGCCACGGTGGATCCTTGGCGCAATCGGCACCCGAGGAGAGCTGCTTTTGCCTCGGCGTTCTCCAACGTTGTGAGGATTTCTTGTCGTTTAAGGCGCACATATGAATCATATGATATGAATCGTGAATAGTCATGATGCAGAATTGCTGCACTTTTACCAGTTTAGAAAATGAATTCGAGATCTGCCTGGATCATCCAATGGTTCATTGATGTTCAGAATGCATAGAAAATGGGAAAGGGCCAAATCTGCTGTTCACCTCTCACCCAGTCCGAGCGACAGTTCCGCCAGGGTACATGTCGAGACAGCATCTGCCAGCAGCTGTGTTTGACCTGGCTAGGCCTCTATTGTCGCTGGCTGTGTAAGCGTATTCGGTAAAAGCGTGTTAACGACAAAACCAACAGAGTGCCCAGATCGAATGACGACTTGCAATCTGTTGGAATTAGTTGGCACAGAAGCGGCTCATGCACTCAGGGGTTTTGTCAAATAGAAGGCATTCCGGAAATTGATTGCGTTGAATCATGTAGATCTCCAAATCCATGTCTGCCAATTTTGTTGTTGTTATTGATTGCCAGAACTGGCGAAGCTGGGGTACGAAGGGTGGCGAATGCGGCCGGGCAAGTTTTATGAAGTGGTGCACAGGACATTTAGAAACACATTTGGAGGAACTGATGAACCGGTGTCAGCAGAAGCTTCACGTAGTAAGGTGATGAGTCATGAGTGTCTGCCCAAATATACAAGTGACAAGTGTAAGCAAATAGATACAATAGCCGGTAGCCCCAAGTTGCCTGTTTCCTTCCAGCGGTCCAAGCTGACCTACCTCATGGCCGCAAAAGGACTCAACGGCACACGGCCAGTGAGTCGTGTGGAATCGATCGAATTGAAGCGTTCAGTCGATATGATTCGCTCCGTGACATCGCAAAAGAATGTACAATGTATCATGACTTTCAGAGGGTCTTTTGAACTTCGCTCCAACATCATTTGAGAATTCACCATGAAGCTCATCTTCAAATTCGTCGGACTGGAACCTGCTCCTTTGTGGCGAAATTGATAAGTTGCATGTTCAAAAGATCAATCCTGCACCTCTGCTGCTGGATCTGCATTTCAGCAGAGGGCCGCGCGAGGGCGAGCTCCGAGTTGAGGGTCACACTGCATTCTGCAGGTAGATCTGACCACACGCCACGCTTTTGCATTTGCCAAGTGCCTTTTGCACGCAGGACTTCAACCAATGAGAAGGGCTCCCAAGTGACACTCTGAGGTTTCCCACTGTTGAGTTCCAACTTCACTTTGAAGGCGCTACCAGGGCGAAGCAACCCTTCCAGGAGTTTCCCACGGTTTTTACCGATGGTCCAGTCCTTACCTGCATTGTGGTTGTCTGGCCCCAAAATCGAATGAGGAACGGTCGGCCCTGCATCCTTCACATTAGGGTAGAAGACTTTGTCCCAGCTGCTGTCGAGCAAAATTTGAAAGCTTTCCCAACCATTGGGCCCAATGGACAGGACGCGCACAAAACAAGCACCGTCCCAGGTCATCTGTTCAGGTTTCCAATTGCTAAAGGTCCCTGCAATGGAAAAGCGCAGAGGAGGCTCCTGTTGCATAGATTGTCGGCCCTTTAAAAGCACTGAATCCTTAATAATTTGATGAAAATGTGCGTCTGCAAGGATGGCACGGTGCTCTACGCCTGGTATTGAGGTCAGCTCACTATCCAAACCTGCCTTGGCCCAGTTTCGACACTCCTCCAAACTCGACAGGGGAACAACTCCGTCACCACTCAGGGCTTTGCTCGAGCCATTTGCATGAACAGTTCCACCCTGGAAGCTGTATCCATGAATATCTGAGCTGGCAGCTTCATCAAATGCCAATCGAGTCAATATTTCTGACTGTTTCAGCCGGATTGTCTGTACTCGAAGCGCATATGCTGCCTCTGTAGGAACATTCACTCCATGAACAGCTCGTAATTTCTTGACCGTTGGGCAACGGTCACACAGGTCATCATACAGGCTATCTTCTCCGTAGTATTGTTTCCATGTATCCAGAATATCCTGGCATCGCTCAATTTTCATCACCTGCTTGGCACCAATAGGTTCATAGACAGCTGCTTTATCACTGGAACATTTGAAGTGGTAGCTGGAGGTGCTGTCACATCTGTCACCCTCCCAGAGCGAGTCTGATCCGACCCAGGTCCTCTTGAGTGCTGCAAAATCCAACCAGCGCATCCGGAAAGTGACGAAATCTCCTTTTTCTGCAGCTTTGCCATATCCCATTGCAGAAATCGGTCCAGATGCCAGTTTGGTGATCGGCAGGCGCACTTCAACAAATCCCTCAGTGTCGACATGAGATTTGTTGAGGAGAGGGCTCAAAGATATGGCCTCAGTGTACGCTTTGGGCACACCAAGGCCTTTTCTCCCCATTGCAGCCTCTTCCACCAACATCGCACCAGCAGCTAGATTTTGCCCCACCCGAGACAGCCAACTGCCTTTAGCATCGTGCTGCCTGCCCTTTTCCTTGACAATCGCTTTGATGGTCGCATCTGCCGGCAGCTCCTGTACAAAATTGGACAAGTCTGGCAGAAAAAATCATGGCACATTCAGATCCTTTATAGATGACTAAAATATTATATATATATATAATATATATATATATTAATATATATATAATATCATTTACATTTCAGACATTTCAGCAAAGTGAGGCGCTGTTCATGTGTGACTGATGGACAACCTGAGTGATGGATGAGTGCGTGAGCTGAGTTGAGGTAGCGGTTGTCCTGTGGAATGATTGTATAGTCTATGTTGATGACTGCTTGCTTAATTTAGATTAATTATATGAGAAGTGTGCGGAAGTGTTGAGTGATTAATCCAGAGCATACTAAGGTACCAGAACTCACCAAAGTTAAACTGAACCAAGAGAATGGTACCACAGAGCACAACACTGGCGGAACAGCGTTCTACGCCATGTGCCACCATGCACTACAACTTTCTACATCCAAGAGAATGATCAAGTATGATAAAAAGAATGATCAGTATATGATATGCAGTATATGCATATTTATGATAAAACATTTAATTACTAGAATCGCAATTAGAACCACACTACCAGTCTGGACCAGGTACAAAATCTGTTCAAACATCATAAGCCATTGACTTACGACCACCTACAAGGCACCACCACGTATTTCAGACTAACCTACGCAACCTGCCCAGTCTACCAAGACACACCGCAAATGCTGTACTTGAAATGTGTGTCTTCAAATCCACTGGTCCGACTGATCCTACTGTCTACCAAGTCCCATAAGGATACCGCCACTACGATGCTAGCACCGCAAACATTCCCAAAGAGAACACAACCCACCAGGCTTTCCAAATCTTCCAAAATCCGCCATTGGCCAACCACTACACTGGCACCCCTTCAGTCTCAACGTTTGAAACATGCAGTGGTGAGGTTCAAATGTGCTTAAGTCTTGGCCGTGCCATGCTGTGACACAAACTGTACTTTAGAGGGATATTGATATACAGAAAAAAAGGTCTTAAACTTATTTAAACTCATTTAAACTCTTTGTTATTTTTGGTATCTGAGACTGAGAGCACATGATTGGGTTGCTGTCCACAAGCTCTTCGCTGCCAGGTTTACTAGCTAAATGAAGCTAAATGAAGCTACCGAGCTCTACATCGGGGTTGATTTCTCAAAAAAATCCGGACCGGACATTTAACATCATTCAAGGCATTTTGGACATTTCTCTAAAATTTCAACCAAAATTCCGCTGCCCAAAAAAAGGTGAATTACAGCAGATCCTCTGGGCCAGCAAACTGCAAGAAATTGTAGTAGTCGTCAAACTTGGCACTTCTGCCATCAAATGAGCCGGCACTTTTGGTCGTCAGGCTGTCTGTCTTGCGCGATCCCCAGCATAGCTCTATCGTTAGCATGATCTTGTTGTCAGCTGAAGCAATACCGCAGTTCTCGACGGTGGCAGACAGCTGCTTGATCTCCAAGACACCTCCTGATGTGACAAACCACAGAATGACCTGACTTTGTTTTGCTACTTAAAATTTAACCATTTAGTGTCCCGCTACTGTATCGGCTTTGAGAAAGCACCATGACAACTCAAAAGCTCTTACTGTGCGCCGGAACACCTCTCCGAAGATAGAACAGCGGCGTTGTTTCCTTGCCTGAACCAGCAGCTAGACAAACAATTGCAAGCGGCAAGCCCCCTTGTTTCAATTCCTCTCCCGGCCGCAATTCTGAGGACACAAACAAGCACCAAAAAGAGGTTGAAATGTACGTTAAGAGGATGTAAAAGGGCTGCACCTCACCATTTGGACGTTGCAATTGCTGAAAGCCGAACGGAATTCGCGCCTGTCGGAAATAGCCATGGAGAAGCGCTTAAGGATCGTGCGAAGGCTCTTGCCTCTGCAGGGTTGTGAGTTTGTGAATCGAACTCGTCATCTGTACTGCTTTCATTCTTGAATTGTATCACGAATTGTCATGATATATCTGGCGGCTACAGCACCAGCTCATTCTTGTTCTAAGAAGCACAAGCTAGTTTAGCACAGGTGGTTTCTTTGGTTTTCCAGGCCCCCACCTCTGAGTCTGTCACAAAATGGTCCAACCCAAACTTGTCTCCAAAGACAGTAGATCTCAGCGCTTGAGGGGCTCCACAATGCGGAGCGCCAGCTGCAAGCCAAAGGTTGATGTGCTGGTTTATCCAAGCTTGCCCCTTTGTTTTCTTAGCAAATTCCAAGAAGTAGGACACCACTTTGTTTCCCATGGAATGTGCCAAAAGGACGACTCCACGATTTTGGCAATGGTGATACAAAGTTTCAATGCTTCGAATGAGTTGGCTGAAGTAGCCAACGCGCTTTTCCAGCACAGATGGAGCGAACCGCCAATCATAGCTGGCAGCAATGAGGTCAACTCCTTCTACATATCCAAGTTCTTCCAATAGGCCAATGACTGGCGCAAATACATAGCCTTGAGTCTGAGACGACACACGAAACATCACGAAACACTGAGAGAAGCTTAACTTACTTTAAATAGTTTAACCCCAGCACACATCGAAAATATTCAAAAATCATCGAATCATATGGATGTGGGTCAAAACCTGGTACCTGGTGAACCCCAAAATAGCTGGTAAATGGATGTTCATCCCTCTAAAAATGGTATTAATAGGTATTGACCCATACCCATATCGAACCACGTTAAGCAGCCAAGGCACTTGCTTCAGCTGCCAAGCCCATGAAGCTGTCAGGATCCAAAAACTTCACTCCCGCCAAGCCCTCCACGGCGCGGAGTCGGATCCCAGAACTCTCGCTCTGCGGATCTGCTAAAACCAGATGCTGAAGCCATTGGTTCTTCAGAGATAATGCCTCTGGATCTGCCCAAGTCCCTTTCCCGTGCCTTGGATTTTCAAGGATTTTCATGATCCAATGAAGAAATGAATGGGACTTTTTGGCAAATCAGAGGATTTACCTTGACAATGATTTACATGACAGAATGTTAGATGTTCGCAAACACAGCCTAAGGCTGCTCAAAACACTTGAGAAGTGACTCTGGGGCACTAACTTAAATTAGAACTTTCCATTGCATGCCTAACTTGCTTGAGGGCTACGGCTACCTTACCAAAAGTGAATCCAATTAGACCCATATACGAAAGAAAAAATCGTGTGTCTTTCCTGCATTCCGAGCAGCATAGCCGAAAAGCCAATGTTGGACAGCCCCAACCATATCTTTTGGCCCTTCCAAGAAGGACGAACTTCGCTGCTCTCGACCTGTGCAAATGGAGCCAGTTTTTCGTCAACACATTGCGGGATACCGCTTACAAGGTGTTGACAGGTGGGTAGAATTCAGCAATTTGGAACAATTTGGAACTTTAGCAGTAGCTGCTAGATCTGCTAGTAGCTTCTGAATTCAGAGATACTCTTTGTTCTCTGCATTGCACCTCCAAGCGAGTTGAGCAGAAGCCAGGAACAATGACGACTGGCAAACGCTCGGATGCCATGGCACGATGACAATGTCTCGATAACGTTTCTTATCACACTGCAAGAAGCTAGGGACTACAGGGACTACAGTTTGTCACTTGAATCTTTCGCAAAGACACCCAAAGGAAATGTTGCGGAAAGACTGAACTTCTTAGTCCGCTTCACAACTCATGATTCAAATAATTAAGTCAAATAGTTGTGTGTGTGTGTTTATCTTCTCTTCCTCTTCCTAGCCAGCAAGGCTATGCGAACCACTCAATCAATATTTGGTGCACAGCTCACCTTCGCAAATGTCGTTTGTTCGGCCGCAAATGATGTAATGATTCAGTAACGATGTCATACTCTATGTATCTCTATGTCATATGTCGAGTAATAATCCAAATCTAAATGGATCACACAATTATACACAATTGCCAAGGCTGTTCTCCCTTGTGTGTCTTTCAAGTGTGTGTTTCACTGATGTTCTAAATATGTCTAAATCGCGCTCTGAGCAGTGGCTGAATCATGCTGAATCCACAAGAATCGGAAGTCCCTGCGGATCAAAAGTTTTGGCACCTCGCTATCAGCACTGACCTGCTCCTGCCGACTCTGTGCGGCAAGGAATTGGAACGTTCTGATGCGATGCTTTTTTTGCATCCTATACAAAGGTGGTGCAAGTCTGCAAATGTGCCAGTTATGTACAATCCAATATCCCAAGGTTGGGAATCCGACTACGGCTGCCAAGACTCTCTTTTGGATGGTACATCCACACGAACACAATAAAATTCTCAACTTTTGAAGATATGTGACCTTCACTCAGAAACTGTGGAGCATCCAAGAGAATCGGGGAAGCATCTGTGTGGGGGTCCCCGAGGACCTTCCATGCCAAAAGCCCAAAGTGTTCTGCTTAGAAACCATGCAGACACTAGCTCACTCCATTCTGTACACTGACAGAATGTGAAAAAGCTTCACATCAGCATCTCTAAAAAATGTGCTTGGCCTGGACAATTATATAATAATTGCAAAAGGCTAATCGGCTAATCCAGTGTGGAAACACATGGCAAGATCTCCATCATTTCTGCTTTATGTATCTTAATTTGTCATCAGTCCCAGGCCAAATCAGAGCAGTTCAGCCCAAGGCTAAGCCTTGACAGCTTCCCCACCCTGGAATGCCACACAGCGCTGTGTCGAAGAGTCCATGGCCGAGAGGATCGCTGAAGACTGGGCACTTCCGAAGATGCCTTGAGCATCGAAGCATCGAAGCATCGAAGCTCAGATCGAGGGAAAAGCCCCAAGGTCTCACGGAGGCAGAATCCTCTCACTTTGGATCTTTCTCACTTGGGCACCTCAAACAGATCTCCATGCATAGATCATCATAGAATATCATGTATTTACACATTGTCGCGTATGTCACATGGTGCTTGCCTTTCCGTGTATCTCAAGGTTTTCAAACATCTTCACAAAGGTTTGAGGGCCCTGAAGGTTCAGAAATCTCCGCAGAGCACAGGCTTCGGCGTGAAAATGCCGACCTGGCGGCCTAAGTGCCGATGGCAAGGTATCAGTGTCGAAAACCCATCGCTGCCTTTGGCAATTTTACTGCGGATGGGATCTGCTGGGGCTTTGCTTCGTCCTATTGAAACCAGGACTGCGCCTCCAGGTATTTTGGAAGAGTCAAGTAGCTAAGTGACTTGGCTTGAAACAAGTGCAATGCCGCCAATGCCCGTCACAAGATCAGCACAACTTCAAAACGCTCTGTACATTCTCGCCCTGCACACTTCATATCGATAGATCCAACTTGGACATCTCAGGGATGACCTCAAGGCAATACCAGGCCAGAAATTCTGTAGATGGAGAATCATATGAGAACAGCCAAACAGATGAATGAGATATCATGAGATATCTTAGAATCGTGGACCTTTCTAGCCTTGTCGATCTCCATGAGAGTGGCCAGCAGGTCCTCTCGCTCCCATTCCATGGCAATGTTTGTGCCAGCCTTGGCTTTCAAAAGCATGTTCGAGGAACACACATTCATCGGTTATACAGGTTAGGTACATGACAATTCATGTGGTTTCATCGCACCGCAAACGCTTTACAAAGAAAAAGTCAGGCTCAAGTCCGGCTCAAGGAAAAGGTCCCTTGCACCAGAGTCAAACTCGCTATGAGCTCGCCCTGGGCAACTTGCCCAAGTCAGCTCTAGTCTAAACATCAGAATTCTCCGTTTGCCTCCGTGACAACAGCATGGTGATTCTACCTCTTCATAATTTCCCCATTGGCCAAGAAAACACTTCTTTGCGCGACGTGGAAGGCTACACAGGAAAGAGACTTGCCCTGGTCACAATTTCTGCGTACAAGTCAAATTTGGAGTTCCAAGAGTTCCAACAGCCTCACTGCCGAGGAACGACACCCAGCCTGTCTCGAATCTCCTCTTCTGTCATCGAAGCATAGAATTCCTGGCTATTGCAATGCGGCAAGCTGGTCGAAATATCACAAAAGACAATGTCCACTACAACCTCACTACTCAGGACTTGAATGAACTGTGTTCTCGGAGGCGACATTATGAGTGCGAGTGAAGGTGGCACCACAGAATCACTAGTGCCGGAGGTTGGAGAACTACTGAAAAGCCACGAACATGACAAGAAAAGAAACGTCTCAAAGCTGCACAAGGACGGAAGGAAAGCCATGAAAAGTGTAGGAAAAAGCTGGGCGCGAGGACTATGTGAGATCAGAATCAACACACAGATTGAAGCTGGATTCTTTGCCTGACCTGATAGTTACGCAATCCTAGACACTTTTCGAATAACATCTGTGGCAAGGATCCGGCTCGTGCGGCGAGGGCAACATGCAAGGAGAACTGGGCCTCGTTTCATTCAAACAAATGTTCACAAAGCCTTTGGAGACTTCCCGAAATCTATTGCGTCTACCGTAACGTGACAAAATCAAACCTCTGATTAAAATTGACATACAAAATAAAGCTATACTGAAGTTGGTGCAAGTGATTGTCGTTGATCCAAATTGATACATCACAAAATATGGGTGGTGAATTTATCAAGTAGGCGGAAGTGTTCAACAGTCGAACCAGAGGCACTACCCAGTCCACGGACCAAAGAATTGTCATGAATTGAAAATATTGTTTTGCAGTCGTTTCTGCAGAAGGATACAACAGCAGGCGCACACCCCAGTCACTTCAGCGCAGATCATTTTGAACAGGCAGAACGATTCTGGAACTATGAGCACGTGTGAAGCCCTGATCTATAACATCTATGACTGAAATCCCCTCAAACTCATTCTGTGTTTTTTCTAGCCGTCTTCCCAATCCGCGTTTGTTAAACAAACCCAAGCAACGCAGCGGGGCTGTTAGCTGCGGTAGAAGCGGAAGACGGCCTAGGGGGACATGTTCCATTCAGGGTGCTGTTTTTGGGGCATATAGGAGCAACACTCAGTGGCAACTATTGAAAGTCAAAACTCCATGATTGTTCTCGTTTATGGGCCAGGCAAAAGCTCTGGGAAAGTCCAAAACAAAGTTATTTCAAGTTACAGTATTTCACATGCTAACATGCGATAACATGCGTAGATACGCAGAGGACAAGCCAAAGGTTCAAAGAGGGACGAGTCCCAGCATCAGCAATCTAAGAAGCTCCGAGGGACGAGTCAATGCGCATCTTCTTGGTGCCATTGGCACTTTGGGTTTCCTGGGGACCGGATCAAAAGCAAAACAGCAAAACGAGTTCGGAAGCTGGCTAGGCCGGCTAGGCGGCTAGATCAAGCCAGGTTCCAGCAGATTCTAAAACTGATGACATCTGATGACAGAAGACAATGGGAAAGTAAACACCGTGGCCGCCATGGCTCATCCTCCAAGTCTTCGTCATCGTCGTAATCTGGGATTTCCCAAATCGGAGTGCTCTCGAGAAGAAGTACCTGAGCCAAACCCTTATCATGCCAGTGTTGTCTCCTCTGGACCACCAGGAACCAAGTGCAGTCATAAGTTTCAACAAGTACTCTGACTTTATGTAGATATAGATTGGGCCAACCAGCTAGGATTCAATTCAATTCTATATAACCATAAGATGGATGAAGGATCGACAAAGAAAATAATAGGACTGCCAGTACTACGTCTAGTCTACTGTTTCTACTCCTGCTACTGCTGCACTTCCTTTACTGCTCCTGCTGCTGCTATTGCTACTGCTACTACAAGCGCGACAGTAACAAAAAGCAACAAGAACACAAAAAGAAATACAAAAACAAATGACTAGTTGGTATCGAGTTGCATAGTCCTCGGGAAGCCTGGGCGAACAGCGAGAGTACGTAAATCAAATCTGCCAATCAGGTTTCTGCTCCAATCATTCCCGAACATTCCAGAAAAAAAAAAACAATCAAAACCACTCAAATACATCCATCACAAATCAAGTTGTGTGTTTCATCTTTTTTGTCAGAAATATATTTTTTGTCAGCATCTTTTAGCAAAAAAAACGTGCCAAACTTCCGACCAAGCCACATCTCCATGTCCGCATCAGTGGTTTCTGGTTCTGGTAACATGCTGAAGCTGAAGGGCTGATTCGAAGGTTGCGGCATGGTCTGCACCTGTCACAGGTTGTCCCAAGTTTTCCGATGTTTTTTCGTTGTCCCTTAATCCAGTGCCCCAACCTGAGTCTGAGCAGTCTGAGCTTGAACAGCACCACCCGGCATGGCACCTGCCAAGGCTTCTGGAAGAGCTTCTGGAGTGAAATTCATTGGAACCGTTTAAACTGTTTGACATTTTGGCATATTTTCCACTGCCTCCGGCCCACATCTTGCGCATGTCGTCACCAACCCACTTCACAATGGACAGGTCCATAGGCCAATGTCCCTTTCAACTCCTGGACCTCAAAGCTATGACACCAACTTTAGCCAACGCTGCGGTATACAGAGAAGAGATCAGAACAGCGGTCTTTAGAACAGAATCTTGCAGTGTTCTCATTGATTCGGGAAATGGCACATACATCAAACCACGTGCGCTGATGTGGTTCTCAAACTCATCCACGTCCGCATTTTTTTCACGCTTCAAACCGATGCAAACAATACAAACTCAACGGCTAAGTGGCAACAGCGATGGCTGAACAGCTCTCTCGAAACCGTTGGAAACTGTCGAGGCCGCAAACCAATAGTCACATGCTGAAAAGAACATCACGTGGCCGTTGACTCCGTTGACCCTACATCTCCTCGTGCTCCCGGCGTCCCAACTGATCTTCTAGGCCCTGGATGTAGTAGAAACCAATCTGCTTCATGATGCGTTGCCTTGGGACTTGTTAGCTCTACTCATTTCATCTTTGAAGTGGATGTATTTTTGATGATTTCCAAAGTTTGAAATTCCCTTTCAAGCAATTTATGTGGTTCGGTGCGGCTCGCGCAAACGGATTTCAAAAAACAAATCGATTGTGCGTGGTGCAACTGTAACATCACTACATCCATATCTACAATATATGTATATTTATATTAAAATTTATATTATATTATATTATATTATATTATATATAAATATACATATGTGTGTGTAAAAATATGTGTAGATTTATTCATTTATTTATGTCTGTATAATATATATAAATATATATACATATGTAAATTTTAAATATATTTATCTTACAACTAACCATGACCAGCAAGCGCACATTCTGCCATATTGGAAATAATCTTTCTTGCACGTAGCTGACAAAGTTCTTTGCTGCGAAGCCAAGCAGCAGCATGAAGGTGCCAAGGCAGAAGCGTGGCGCAGCATCGCAGCCTGTTACATTTGGACCTCAGTCGAAGGATCAGCTGCTGAAGTCTCCCGAAAGCATCGAAACTCCAAGAAAAAAACACAAACGGTCTTGTAGATTTATGCAACATGTTTTTGTTCTGCAAACCAGGTTGCATTTTCGAATTTCTCTCAATTCTCCTACAAATGTCAGCATTCTATCCGCATTTTCACGTCCAGGAATGAAGGTCATAGCCTCGGACAATGCGGTGTGCACCGGACTCTGTCGGACTCGGCGGAAGTTCGTCACACATTTCGAAAGGAAGGATGAATCAGGATGACTAAATTGGTTGGAAGATGTTGGAATCATTTGTTTAGAGGTGCCAAAGCAGATAGTCTAAACAACAGAAGTCTGCACTGACTCGACTGGTCCTCCAGTACATTTGCTTACTTGTTCTTGCTGCACCACTCTGCCGTCTTGGAACATACTGTTGATCTGCAGATGGACCGCCAAAAACGGAGGGATCATGATTCGCATGTAAAGCAATGGTCGCACCATAGTGACCTAGGCATGGTCAAGGCTTGTAGGTCTCAAACGGTATTCTTTGCCGCCACAAAAGGGGTTTTCAATGGACTGCTCGATTTGGCTTACGATCGCTGTTTGTCATACAGTCAGACAGTGAGAGCAGTGAAGCAGGGTGAAGCAGAGCGCAGGGTGGAATGGTGGAACGTGCTATAGCAAAAAGATTACTGCATCCAGGCTGCCGGCATATTCAGTGAGCACATTTCCTGTGCCTAGTTTGTAACTCCTTGGCTTTCCGCAGATTGTTGGGCGTTTGCGTTCTACTTCTGACTTCGCTAGAATCTTTGCAAGTCAAGGGATCAGCAAAATAGATTCGTTGCAGGAGCCCAACAAGACTAAGAGATCTAGGAGGCATGTACTGTGTCGGTGTCATGCGCCCAGTCAATCGATGCCAATGTTTGAGTTTCAGACTTCACTCTGCAATCCCAAGTCCAGATGGGTAGGTGCAAGCGCCCAAAAAAATGCTGAATAAATGAAAACTATCAGCTACCTTCACAAAGAGTCCATGAAAAGACAGTGAATGAAATCATGTACTTGCAAAAACATGCAAATACAATAGAATACCACACTAAATTAAGTAGCTCTTCTCACTTGTCTGTACTTTTTGGTCCAAAGTCACTATTCTGATGTGGAACCATCAATGCAAGTCATCGTCATCCAAGGGACTGGGTCTTCTCCACTACCCAGGGATTCACTCCTGCTCCGCCACCACCTTGAGTTCGAATCACCTGCTCAAGCGTTCATGATCCGTTCATGCTTCCAGTGCTTCTGAGTCCTCTGAGTCTTGTGCAATAGCACTGGAGCAAGTGACGTGGCCAAAGACTCAGGAAAGCTTGGTAGTTCTGTCATGGCCTCTAGCACAAAAGCTTCAGGATCTTTTTTAAATAGAGGGACGTACTTCTCAGGTGACTTCTGGATGAACCTGGCAGCAATGTGCAAAGCAGTTTGGTGGTCAGAAACTTTGGCCACGAAGCTAACTTTTCTGTGTCAAAGCATTAAGCGCCTAAGCATCTTCATCGTCGCAAGAGCACCTGGAAGAGGCAGAAATACTCCCAAGCTACCACAGCCACTCCAAAGCCTTGCCTCCCGGGCCATCTCCACCAAATCCAGCAAAGCTGAACTCGAAGACAGTTTTCCGCAATCGCTCGATGCCATTCAAGCCTTCCACCAGGTTGCAATGTAGGGCGCTTGAAGTCGTTGAAGTTAAAAGCATACATCCTAAACACACAAACATAAAGATACATAAAGCATGTCCCCAACATTTCAATCATAGCGACAAGGCATTTGAATTCCGAAACAGCATCTTCCCCTGAGCCTCTGCTTTCAGCTTCTTCCATGAATTGCCTGCCCCATTCACTGGCTGCCACCTTGTCCTCGAACACCTCCCAAGAGAATAGCCACTCCGAGAATCACTGATGTGACAATTGTGAGAAATGAAAGAAGCAAATGATGGACTGTGTAACCGCAATATTCTTGCTTCAAAATCTCCAAAGAAACAAAACATTTCAACGCAGAGGGCAAATTTCAAAGGGAAATCCAGCTCTTTGGCGAAGAGTCACAATATGGGATGAGTCATGACATTTGACTTGTAGCCCTTGGCCCCGTTGGCCGGTGCCTTTGCAAGTCCTTGACAGTGCTTGCCACCAGCTTCTGAGACAATTCCAAGAAAAAGTTTCCCAGGTACCTGCGCAATGAAAATGAATTGCGGCAATTTGCGGCAATTTGCGGCATTTGAAATCCATTTAAATTGTATTGTAAACCAACTGCTATTTCCTTCATTGCTGGAGTGCATTGTATCTTCGCATTGATGACTGCGAAACTGAAGAAGCAGTGATTGGAGTACTGGAAGTGCTCAAAAGATCTTAATCTACAGTTTAAATATATATACATCTGGGCAAATTATAATAATTAATTCACACACCTGAAATAAGGCCATTTTGGGATGATTCCGCTTATTAACCATGATTCCAGTGAGGTCGCAGTGAGGTCGTTATAATTCACCCAGATACATATAAATTCATTTACTTCTTCCGAGCTGCGCCGAGCCATTCTCGCAGAAGTGGAAGCTCATCCTTGGATCAACATATCAACCAAAGGCCACACCAGGACCATGTTTTTCAGAGGAAAAAAACAAACCAAAATCGGGAAACACAAAATTGCACTGCAACGAATCCAACCACTGATAAAAAGAGAACCCTTCCCAGGAAAAAGGAGGAGTGGAAAAAACCAACGATGTTTACCTTTTTGTTGTCTCTAGCTGTATTGTTTTGGCTGTGTGCCCCGTGTGCCTCTATCCCCGTATTGTTCACTTGTTTTGCTTTTTCCTGCCTTTGTTCCGTCATGCTTTTCCTGCCAGTATCAGTGCAGGATCTCCGCCATCGTCATGTTGCGTTTTGCTGATCCCGATGTGCGCGTCCTTTTTGTGTTTGATTTGTTTTTGCGCATTCGAGTGTTTGATAGCCTTGTCACAAGTTCACAGGCCCTTTCGCGGGAAGCGTATTCACATGGATCGCATTTTGATTATGCAAGGCGCAGAAATGTGAACATTGTGAACTCCGTCATAATTTCAACAGTTTATGACGCTGCTCAAATCTCAACAGTTTTGAGCAACTCACAACGATGATGGTTTTCCCGAAAGGCAATTTCAATAACCAATCTCTCCAAGAAGCATTCGAAAGCTCCACACCAAATGCATGCCTGAGCACTGAACACAAAACGAGAGGATGGCAAGGATACAAACTTCAAGCAACAATCCTGGCAGCACTACCTCTGAGGCTTTGTCCGGAAGAAAGTGTAAGCGAAGATGTTCTGGACCATAGTGCTAACAACCTTTGGGAACGGGATCTTCAAATGCCTTGGGCTGGGAAACCACGAAGTATCCACCAGTCTGAACGGCTTGACAGTATCTGCCCTGCTTTGAATGCATGAAAAGGGAAAGAGTTGTCAACCGATTATGCATAATGCAAGCTACAATACATCTTGCTGATCTTGGAAAGAAATGCAGCAAACACGACAAGTCACACCATGCCTCGCAAAGCTGGCAAGTTTGCAATCCAAGACTGAGCCCGGAACCAGGAAATGTCTTGCACTAAATCTATGGGAGATATGTCCGGAAGAGGCTTAAACTCAGGAGGCTCGAAGTGTTGAGCGATAGAAGGCATTGCAGCTGACAGCAGATCTCCTTGAGCAGGACATGTCAAAAGCAGCACAAATGTCCAATTCGTTTTAGAGTGAATCAACTGAGAGGTAGGAACACTTGGAGTTTGAGTCGGTGTTTATCAAGCCCGGCACATGCAGCTTTGAATGTTGCAACAATCAACTATAAGACTAGCCCGTTTCATTGTGGAGTTGTTGCTCTTGGCTGGCTTAGTCTGGAGAAAAAAGAAAGTGCTCAAAAAAAATTGACCTCTGATACGCACACTTGTATCCGATATTATCCGATAGTGGTAGAAAACTTTATCGTTGCATGCTAGGACCTGTGAGTTGACATGAGAGGTGAGGCATAATCTTCTTGTTGTGCTGGCACAGCAGTAGGGTTGGACTGACGCAACTCTTGCTATAATTCACCTCCAAGTCCTCCCCATTTTCATTCCAAGAGTTTGAATTGTTGTATGTTTTGTAGGACGTGCATCTTGGCAGAACTGTGCCCTCTCCATAGATGCATGTCAGTTTTTTCAAGCCACATTGAGTCAAGTTGTTGACGCTATATCGCCTGCTACCAGCCACTTATCAAGTTTTTCGCTGCAGTAGATGTGATGCGATTGGGGACAACAGTCCAGGGTTTAAAGATTAAAGCGTCCGAGCAGGCTGAGTTCGGTTCAAACAAGCAAATACCAATTTCACAGAGTGCACTGTGTCGAGGTCGTACCAAGCTTCTATGCGCATATCGCAGCGGATCGTCTGTATTCATCCTTGGTTTCCCCGTGGCCACTGCAGACTGGAGACGGTCCGAAGCATTGAATGACATACGGGTGAATAGCTGTCCATTGTCAGTCCCATTGCCCACATTTCCTTGTGAGTCCCAGTGAAAACAAAAGGGATCCCTGATCCCTAAGATTCTTAAGATCGGAATCACGACCGAAAGGGGAACCTTCTGGCACAAGACGATTGAGAGTGAGGGTGGGGCGGTCTTCAACGTCATCATTTTTTGACATGAGACACTGAACTTTTCGAAATAGAACCTAATGACTGAAACGCGCAGCATGCAAATTACTGCCATGGCACTGCAAAAGTGTTGGCAGCACTCCTTCTGAGAAGTAGCCTTCGTTGCCGATGAGACCGAGTGAAAACAACGTGTAATCAGCAAAGTTAATGACAAATGATTTTGATATGGCACATCTGGCACATTATGTATGCTGTGTGACTTGCGATCCATGACATATTCATGCATATTGTATGTACTGTAATCGATATATGAGATATGGTAGATGGTCGAGTATGTAACGTCATGAATGATGTATCGGGGGACTCTGCAGAAAAAACAGATTGCGGCTCATTTCTAGTAGTAAATCATCCCATTTCACGGTATTGATATGATGAAATACCCACACAGCGCATGCCCTGATGCGCTTCTACTATGACTGTGATAAGCTTCAACAACATCTCTGACCGCCTTTAGGCACCTTGGCAGTTTCGACGCCGATAAAACGTTTCCCATCTCGCTTCAGGTGCCTAGGTGACTTGAACACTTGAAACATCTTGAAACATCTTGAAACCATTGAAACTGAATTCATCACAGCCGATCATGTGCAAAAATCATTCTCGTAGTGTCACAATTTTGAAATCGCAAAGGGGCACACTCACAGTGTTTCAGCCATGGGGTGACACCAAACCCAATCCATTGGACACTGAATACCAAGAGCACAAAAAAGGTTGTTTGTCTGAAAATGGTGTACCCTATTCTCTCCCACTGTTATCATAATATTGTTTTCATTCAACTTGCCATTTGTACCCCATTTTCAGACACACACCCAAATGCACAAAAACTCCTGGCTCGTGGAATTAGCACTACAGAATCCAGTTCATCCAGGCTGCGGATTGTGATGAACCGCTCTGACCTTCTCATAGCTGACGCGCGCCAGCATGTAGCCACGGGTGAAGTTCTCCGGATTGGGAACTCAGAAAATGCAGCGCCACTGCAAGGGATGACGAATTCCATTGATTCAAACCAGATTTACAAGAATAGCAGAATACATTACATGCAAAATGATCAAAAATATGCCAAAGGCTCCTGACACCATGAAACTAGTAACTAGATGTAGCCAGTGCAGCTGAGGACTTGACAAGGTAGGAGCCCCCCCGTCTTGTATCCATCGACAGCATAAATCAAACGAGGATTCCAAACAGGACCGACTCCGAGAGGGCCTGCACCAGATTGCACCAGCAATCAGCAGCATGGACCTCATGGACCTCATGGACCTCCTACCCTTGCTCTCTGGTCTCCAAGTCTCCAAGAGAAGACCGAGAATTTTCGAAAACAGTGCCATTTTCTTTTCGTAAAACCATCTTTGTATAATGAATTTTATGCCAACAAAGTTTCCGGAACATCCAGCATCGGAGATAGGTATACAAACACAAAACAAGACTCAGTTGACCACGTACTGTCTTTGAAGCCACGCAGAAATAAATTTCGCCAAGTGTCCATGCTCCCAAATACGCGGCACTTGTCCCAGAATCAAGAGTAGCAAACGCAATGGAGGAACACCAATTGTATATGTCTCCACAAAGCGGATGTATGCGACTTGGCTTGATCGCGCTATGTCCGCATGTCAGGCTTCTCACAAACTCAAGAACGAAAATACAGGAACGGATACATCAATGCCCAGAAGGTAGTTATGCCTAAAAGAACCAAGTTTGGATCGATATTGATCAAACTGTTCTTGGAACAGTCAAGTAGTGCTGTTATTGCTGACAAGTTGCGTTCAACTTCAGGAATACAAACGCTGCAAATCAGAAGCAACGGAAGAGCCAGGAGACACAGGCAAACTCGGCACATGCAACCGCATAGCCCCATGTCTAAGACGAGGCAAACTAAAACTGTTTCCTGAAGTTTCCTCCGTAGCTTTGTATGACTGGTTCGGTTTCCCTGGCGAAGTGGGGGATGTACTGCAGGTAACGGGGGGTGATTTGTGACGTACTGAAGATGGCCGGCTCATTTGAGATAGTGATTGTAATGAGTTCATCCGTCCATTTCATCAGAATCACGTTATTTCTTTCAGCGCAGAGCAGCGGCTGCAAAGATGAAGCGCAAGACTTCAAGACACCACAATGCATAGAATGCAACAAAAAATGTTCAAACCGACATGTACAGCTGGACGGGCTCCAGTCTGAGGACAGAGGTGGAAACACCGTCTTTTTCACAAAGCACTGAATGTCGGTGACTGGCCGCCGCGCCCTGCACAGTCACTCTGCCGCTGCTGGCGCAACTATATTATTTGCATCTATTTGCATGCTGGAACTGTTGCATATCTGGTGGGAATAGTTACATACTGAGCATTTCAAGAAGGTGTGTGTGTGTGTGTCTGTGTGTGCTAAGTTGCTTGTGTTCGTGAAAGTTGGTCTCTGCTTCTACGCGAATGACTCGGATATCCTTTCCTTCAGCACAAGTTGACCTGAGTTCAAACTCACACTCACGGAAGCCTCAGGAATCTCAGGTCAGAAATTTCAACCTCTACTTCGGCTTCTGCTTCGAGCTCGGGTTTCTGATGCCTCACCAGTTGCCTGATTGGCCATTGACATGGCCATAGGCATCATCCCTGCCATCATTGGCATCATGGGCATTGCGGGCATCATGGTGGGCAGCATGCCAGCCATGGGCATCATCATTCCAGGCATCATCATTCCAGGCATCATCATGTTGGGCAACATTCCAGGCATCGGCATCATGCCAGGCATCACTGAAGAGGATTCTTCGTCTGCCTTTTCCTCGGGTTGCTCTGGAGTGACCTCTATCTGGGGAGTCTCTGTCCTCTTCTCGGTGAAGCGACACTCCTGGCACCCCGTCCGCTCATGTCTCAAATGTTGATATCAAAGCTGCAGTAAGGCTGAAACCAAAAACCAGGAAAATAAGTCAAACATTGGAGTTTGAAAGGATTATTGTTCGAATGTCCATGCTCCATGAAACTCCTGCCTCAATGAAAGAGTCTGTGAGGCGCTTCATTTTCTCTATTGCCACAATCTTTCCCTCTGGATTGAGCGTCAGGCAGTCTTTCAACTCCACGTACGACTCTTTGTCCTCGCTGCCAACCCTCTTGTCCACTATTTTTCCCTCATACTCGATGAAGGTCTCCGGGCCAATCTTGTATTTGATCACTACGTAGCTTCCCAACCTGAATAAGCACTGGTGATGTGGGATGACTGGATCGAACGAAAAATGTAAAAAGAAACTCAAAAGGAGGGAAATGACGGGAAATGGGAGCACACGTTTTTTCTGCATTCTCAATATGTAACTTCCAGATTGGTCCGGAACCATTGCAGAATTGTCGGTTTGCTAAGGTTAGGCGATTTAGCGACAATCAATCTCAGGTTTATATCATCTATATCCAGTTGACAAGTTTGCGCCCAAGCGGCTTGAAACCTTTGGTGACGAAACGTTTTTTGCCTCTGCCAGGTGGACCAAAGGTCTTCATGTAGCCCTGAACACCCCCGAGTGGCCCCGACATGGCGTCGGAAGGCTTCGAAGGCCGGACTACTTAAAAGCAAAGGAGACAACCGATTTGTTGCAAGATTCAACTACTCCAATGCTTGCCCTGTACCCAAACACAACCAAGACTTCCTCAAAAAATGGAACGACCCTGGACAACTCAAGCCAAAAAATGGTTCAATTCAGTCAATGATATTTGCAAATGTAGGCACGAGTGGTATGCATGTATGCTGACACAGGTCAAAAAAAGGTAACTATGTTTGAAAACATGTGCTGCATCTGTCTATCCTTTGAACCCTTGCTGTCTGTGTGAAGATAACATCGCGTTACTTGAAAATAAGTTTGTTCCATATAAACATACATGGCCAGCAGGCAACCGCCGCTCTCATGTCTTCGAGCCACATTACATTCGGGAAGGGTCAGAAGGCACGGGAAACACACAAACCAACTGACAATTCAAAAAAATATTCAATGCAATGTGCTGTTGAGTGCATTGCAAAAATATCGATAGATAGATATAGATAGATATAGATAGATATAGATAGATATAGATAGATATAGATAGATATAGATAGATATAGATACATATAGATACATATAGATAGATATAGATAGATATAGATAGATATAGATAGATATAGATAGATATAGATAGATATAGATAGATATAGATAGATATAGATAGATATAGATAGATCTAGATACATATAGATACATATAGATAGATATAGATAGATATAGATAGATATAGATAGATATAGATAGATATAGATAGATATAGATAGATATAGCTAGATATAGCTAGATATAGCTAGATATAGCTAGATATAGCTAGATATAGATAAATATTGATAGATATAGATAGATATAGATAGATATAGATAGATATAGATAGATATAGATAGATATAGCTAGATATAGATAAATATTGATAGATATAGATAGATATAGATAGATATAGATAGATATAGATAAATAGATAGATAGATAGATAGACAGATAGATAGATAGGTAGATGGATAGATAGATAAATAGGTTGATAGTTAGATAGTTAGATAGATAAACATACATATATAAATATATATCTCTCAAACATCCAGGCACTACTCAAAGCGCCCTTTTTCCTACCATGCTCTCTGAGCCACTTGCGTCGGGAGATCACTTCACGATTTGTGCATGTCATCCAGACAACTGAGCTACTGGCCATGCTAATCTTCTCAGTATCGTTTCAAGTGCCAACTGGAGACCTGATTACCTGCAAGCCTACACATGAGTGCATTGACTAAATTCTGACACCCCACCTTGGTAAGGAATTTTCAATTGCTTACCATCTATTGCCATGAAGCGTCAATTCGAATTCTTTTGGCCTGGTACATCGGCCATCTGTGCTGCATGCATTTCTTTACATGGTCTCTTACAGCTATAGGCACCTTGAAAAAAACTTCTCCACTCTCACAAGCTTGGGCTCTTCCATCTGGAGGAATGTCGCGTTGCGAGCATTGCTACTAGAGGAATGTCGCGTTGCGAGCATTGCTCACTGCTTTGCATCCTATGCGATATCCATCAAGGCTTCCACCTCTTCGATCGCTCGACTGTAGTTCGCTGCCTCTTCCCAGTTTCCGTGGATAGCAGCGTTGTTGTATCGATTTCGAAGAGTCGCTCTTGCATTGATCAATCGCTGCAAATTGTCATTGGCATAGTCGACCATTCGGCTGTGTTGGTCTGCATCCCAATGACCATGATGAAGACTAGCCCACTCGTCTGGGTCTGATACTTCACCCTGCTCTGAGTTCATGTAGCGAATCCTTCGTGCTTCGGCGGATTCATCTCCAACCATTTCCACATCATCTTCGCCACCTTCTCCAAGTCCATACTGCTCGTCAAGCTTAGACTCGGTAGGTGCTGTGTCAATTCTTCGGCCATTGAGTGCCATTCGCACAATTTCATCGCCATTTTCGTCTGCAAAACCCGGACCATCTACATCAGCCGGATCATCTGCAGGAGGTTGTTCTTCTTTACCGCCTTCTGGCTCTTGTGGTACCGCTTCACGGGGTACATCTGCACGGATCCGCTGTCCTCCAAGGTACTCATCCAAATCAGCATGAATACTTTCAATGTCCACCATCATATCGCCACGTTGTCCTGCACGTCGGAAACGTTCATGAAGACATGTAATTTCACAACCCAATAGGTAGTGTGCCACCTGCAAAGAAGGTTTGATCAGCAATCTGTGTCTCCATCCCATGGTCTGTGCTGCATGTTGGATTTCAAACCACCTGCTGTTTCTCCTGTAGTTGGTCCAATGACCATGCAAATCACCATTGCAAGAATGATCAGGACACCCACGATGTAGATTCCAGCATGAATACTGGTCACAACCAACATCATGACCATGTGCGTCACTTCCGATGTTTTCTCCAAGATTGCTTCCATCACCATTGCAGTTTCTGCGCCACCACCATCGTTGGGCCGAAGTCCTGTCCACCTGCATCAAGAGATAGTTCAGAACTGCATCCTTGTGTTGCTGTTGCTACCTGAATGAGTCTCACACACTGCCGTTTTTTCACCTGATTGACCTTTTTCACCCTTCTCAGCGCACTGTCATCGTTTTCCTCCCAGCTATCAGCCATGAAAATTCCAATCAATCTTGTTTGTTTTTCTGATTTGCCTTTTTTTTCTTTACATCGGCGCTGCCAAAAAATGCAAGGGTTGAAGGTTGGCCTGTGAGGGTTTGTAGGTGGTGTGACCTTGAAGTCAGTGTGTAAAGGTTGCAGCTGCGCTTATGGAAAGCGTGTTTTTGGGTTATCGCCCAATCTTTGACGAATGCGGCCTGCATGGACATTCCTGCGCACAGTATCTGCAGCAGAACCGAAAAGACACAAGTATTGAAAATTGTTGCTGCTGCCAATCCCGCGTCCACAAACAGGCCTCAGTGCCTCCAAAAGGAGAAAAACAGAACAAACAAACAAGAAAAAAACAGAACAAATTGACAAAGCGGCAGACGACCCGCAAATCCCCCAGCCTTGCGTTTCGCCTCAGGAAGCAAAAGCAAACAACACACAACCGGGCCGAACCGAACACCAAACAAAACCACTGATTTACCACACGATACTTTTTTTTCCGTCCAACGCCTTCATGGCTTCCGCCAGGTCGTTCAACATGTTTTATAGCATGTTGCAAATCAGGATTAATTGATCAATTACGTCATGCGTGGGCCGTCTGCGGTAGAGTGGCCTCAAAAGTGAACTGGTGAAGGACCGATACATAGTCCTGTGTACTGTCACAAGTCATCACCAAAACGCAAACCGAAACAACACAAACCAAGACACCGAAAACAAACAAAACACAAAAACACAAGAACACACAAACCCATGATTTCAATTGACTTTCCTGCCCCAGAAATGGAACCTGAAAGCGCACATCGGTGTCAGCTGTCTCCGTTCCAGCCTTTTGCAGCTCTTAGGTGATTCTTGAGGTGTTTCTTGCTGTTGCGGAGTTTGTGGGTTTTCGCGCAGGTGGTCGGCTTCCATATAAATGATTGTATTAAATACTCTACTACCCCTTGCCTGCCCCCCTTGCCCCTCTAGACTCCAAAGTTTTCAGCCACATTGGACACTTGAATCAGAACATAGCACGGAGTAGCGGAGTTTTTTTTTTTTGGTCGGCGCCCGTTGCCTTTCGGCGGGTCGCACTTGAGACTTGCGAGTGGACCAGCAGGGATTCGAACCACCGGCAGTCTGTCAGCGCTGGCAAGACCAACGCCATACCAACTGAGCCATCGGGTCGCCTGCACGGAGTAGCGGAGGAGCGCGGAGTAGCGAAGGATTGGTGAATGTTGCCTGGTTGTGCTGCATCGCAAATCGCCACATTGGAGCATGGGTCTTCTTTTCTAGCGGCAATCAAGCCACCAGACGCAACGAAACAATCGAAGCTAACTTCAAGTGGATGTAAGAAGATCATCCATTGACCCAGCAGCCATTAGGCTTGGGAGAGCTTCTGGTACCACCAAGCCATCGCCCTCTTGACAATGGGGAGATCGGGAAGATCCTTGGATCAAGCATTCTCCTTGTGCAGGAGAGGAAAGAAGGTTTTTTTCCGTTTGGTGTTTTGTACATAGCATCACTCCGCCGCCCTCATGTCGCGTGGCCTGCGCGGATCGTAGTTCAAGTCGGAAAAATTAAAATTCTTTTAAAGCAAACCAGCTGCGATCCGCCATGTCATTCGTGCAACCTGTCAGGGGTCCAGGTTCGGACCTACAGGGGAGGCCCAAAACTCCGAAGCCAATCCAAGGAGCAGCAAACGGTACCAAAAACAGGACCCCCCACATTAGACCCAGAACCACCAGAGCAACACCAGCCCTCAGCCTGCAGCGCATTCTGCTTGCCAGCTGCCTTTGCCTTTGCTTTGGGCGGCATCACCTGCAAGCACGCCACAACAAAGCAGCGTATCACAAACCCCAGACTTCTTCCATGCGAACAGAATCGCTGATAACATGTTTGGCCCTGAAACAACAAACCCAATGGCACCCGCCCGTGCAAACGCCTGCAGCAAAAACACTTTCCGCGGTTCCCTGAGCAGTGGCTTCAGGCTGCTGTTTTCTCAACCACGCTGGACTGGGTAATCTTAACATTCAGCTTGCAAGCGAATTTCAGAGAGACACATTAGCAATCCAAACGTTTTCGCTTGGAGGACAAACAACCTTTTCCTAATTAAGCAACAAAACCACGGAAATGCACCACAACACGATTGCCAGCCTTGGAAAGCCAATCATGCGTGTCCAGCAATGACAAATTTTGCGTGGAGTAATTCAATGTCGCAACAATTGGAATTCGGAACAGATATTTCTCATATTTACATTGGCCACCAGGCGTGACACCAAACTCCAGCTGTACATTGTATTTGCCTTGAATCTTGTCCTGGTTCTCCGTCAAAAAGCTCAAATCTCGGACATCGTCTAAAATGATGCCATCGTGGATCTTCCGATTGAATTCACGCAAACCGTCAGGGAAATGCAGGAGAGGACCAACCTTGAGTTCCAACGGGCTTCGAAACAAGGA